CCCCAAAAAAAAAAAAAAAAAAAAAAAAAAAAAAGATTGCTAAAAGTTTTAAATATAGCCACAATGGCACCTTTTCTACTCCATGATAACCCTCAAAATTGCTCCTACTCAGGCCTTTGCACCTGCTGTCCCTTTTGACTGGAAACTCTTCCCCAGGCTCCCACCTGGCTCACTACCTGGCTGCCTTCAGATTTCTTCAGAGAAAACCCTTTCCTGCTCACTTTATCGCAACCAGCGTTTGCCCACCCTGCCTGCCCTCCCTAGGCCGGTTCTGTTGCCTACCAGGTACTCCTCCAAATTCTAAGTCCTTCTGCTGTGTGGCTGTCACTTCAAAGGTTCTCAACGCCGTAGGTCCTTTTGTGACAATTTTTTCTTCCTTTGAATCTATTTCTTTTAATTTGACCTCTTCTCTTCGTGGATGAAGGCTATACTGTGTAGGTATATAACTACTCTCTTGTGACAAAGGGAATTTTTCCTATTTAAAAAATAAAAAGTATTAAATATCTGTAGTCAGTAAGTATCATTAATGCTACCACATTAAGTAATTCAGCATCTTAATATAGCCATATACACTAATAAGAATAAATTTGTTAAATTATACTCAGTCTTAATTTAAGAACAGAATCTTAGAAAAGATTCTAAGAAAAATTATGGTTTTCAATGTGCTTCTTTAGAGAAAGTCACTTTAACAAGGAAAAAAATTACCTGAGAGGAAAATGAACGCCTTTGTACCTGCGTGTTTTTGTGAGGTATGTCATTCCTCTCTATGTGCTCAGGCTCCCCGTTATATCTGTTGATGCTATTTCCAAATGGCTTCTAAATTGAAGAATATAAAACATTTTAACCATAAGAATGATAACTTAGTAAAAAGGAACATGATGGTAAAAGTTCAGTATTGTGAAACCAAGAAATAAAACCAACCAAAGATTTTCACAGCTGTAATGCTGAAGAATTTCAGCCCACTTTTTTAAAAAGTGAAATGGAATAAAATTGATTAGAATTTCCCAATCTTCAAAAGATTGGCTCTTACAGTAGAGGTTTCCACATAAGATCTTTCATCTTTTAAATAAAATTAGACTAAATCTTATCATTTCACTGTTCGAAAACAGATGCTCTAATAATATTCACTATGAGAGGTAGATACAGTAAAAATTGGTAAATCAGCTCATTAATTGGTTAAAAAGAGGAAAAGACATTCACTGCCCCCAAACAGCTAATAACAGGAAATTAAGAAATAGTGGCTACTTAGGGAGTATTACTAGTAACCTACAAACTGCCTACTTTCTGAATTTCATCTGCCTTATTTCTATTTAACCTTACATTTTCTCTCCCTAATGTCTCCTTTCTCAATTCAGTCTCTTTCCTTGAATGTCATTCTCTTCAAGCAGTGGAGGGAATTTCTTATTGACTGTACAGAGGAAGGACTTTCGCTTACGAAACATTTTCCAGGCAATGTATGGCTGAAATAGGTGACTTTGCTCCTTTAAAGTCACTGACAGATTAATTAAAAAGACAAATATATCTTTTGGGAGGCCAGCTGTCAAAAGACAGCATTAATATAGTATCAAGTTCTAGTTCAAATCAAGGTCTAACTGAGCAGTGACTGCATTCAACATATACTTAGGTTTACCAAAGTGCCAACGAGCCACTTAGCAGCAAACGGACCCACCTAAAAACTACACTCTCGGTTTTTCAAAGGTCCAACGTGTAATCCACAGCAACCACAAATGTAATCCTGTAACATAGCTAGTCAGCTGACCCTGAACTGTACTGACTGCAAATTGACAGGGTATTCACACAGTGAGGCAAGGTACTGCAAAGATCACAATTAGGAGTCCAAAAGAATAAGGATGATGTGATGTCAAAGCTACATGCAGGGCTTCCCTGGTGGCGCAGTGATTGAGAGTCCACCTGCCGATGCAGGGGATGCAGGTTCGTGCCCCGGTCCGGGAAGGTCCCATGTGCCGCGGAGCGGCTAGGCCCGTGAGCCATGGCCACTGAGCCTGCGCATCCGGAGCCTGTGCTCCGCAACGGAAGAGGCCACAACAGTGAGAGGCCCGCGTACCGCAAAAAAAAAAAAAAAAAAAAGTGATGCAGGAAAATACAACACAGAAGGTTATGCCCAACATCTTAAAATTTAAAAATCTGACTACAAAACACTATGTAATAATCCAGTTTTTTAAGGTTATCAAAAATCTGTGTGCATTTTATCCAGAAAAGAGGTAACATTAAGTGAACAGAATAAACAATGACCTTTCTTCAATTCTGTTTATTTATAATTTCAATTTGGTCTACTATCTAAAATATTCATTGTGCAACGTCCTCCAGGCTCTGCACACCCTACCTAATATTTCCAACCTTGAACTCTAAAAGTAAATTCCATTAAAAGCATCATCTCTGAATAGGGAAAGCAATCAAGTACAATGATACTAAGACAGCAAGAATATGTTTTTATAAGATACAGTTATGTCTCATTATTTTCTACATGAACTTTTATTCACTATAAAAACTATTCAGTTCAATCTACAATCTACATCTATTTCAAATTTAAACACTGCTTTTTAAAAAATATATATATATTAAATTGCACTCATAACTTAAAAATGTTCTTTTCATGGTATTTAAAAGCATTATACCTTCTATTCTTCCAAACATTCATTTTTTAATGTAATCTTTAATATTATTAACTGCAAATCACTTGAGTACACATAAAGGGGAAGACATGATTTGGGCAGATTAAACACTGTGTAAGGTTGGAGATCTCCCAAACACACGTACCAATACCAGTGGAGTCAGTTTAACTTCCAACATTTCCTTCCTTGCTTCCTTCTTTGCTTCCTTAATGTCAGCCTGGTGCAAAGCTGAGACGGATGGGCGGGAACCTTTTAGGGGCCGGCCAGGGGATCGGGAGCGTGACCTGGAGCGGCTCCCTCTGCGTCTGGAGGGAGAACTGGAAGTTGAGCCACTTTTCCTTTGCCTGAAGGAGGTTAAAGGCTAGAGGGAGGAGAAAAGGCAGAGCTTCACCATAAGTCATAACACACGCAGACCCACACTGCCAGAGGGCAGCAATGGCAGTGACTGCGCCAGTGACTCTAAAACCACCCTGGGAACTCATGGGATCTGAGCATCCATCAGATGAGGCCAATAACAGCTTCAGCTATAATGACCCGTCTCTCCTGAGACCAAAGCAGCCTTTCCACCCCTAACTCTTCTTTGAAGGTATTGCCAGGAAATGAATGTTCTAAACCAAGCAGCTGTACATTTTCCTAATAACATATATAAGAGATACAAATAACATTGATTAAAACTGAGATGAGGGCTTCCCTGGTGGTGCAGTGGTTGAGAGTCCGCCTGCCGATGCAGGGGACATGGGTTTGTGCCCTGGTCCGGGAAGATCCCACATGCCGTGGAGCGGCTGGGCCCGTGAGCCATGGCCGCTGAGCCTGTGCATCCGGAGCCTGTGCTCCGCAACGGGAGAGGCCACAACAGTGAGAGGCCCACGTAACGCAAAAAAAAAAAAAAAAAAAAAAACACTGAGATGATAGGACAAAAAAAAAAATTAGCACACAAACAGTAACAAGGAAATTCATCTCACAGTTTCACTCTGAATAAAACACGGTCAGATCTTGAAAACAAGTCCAAGACTGGGTTACTTAGCAATGTTTTACCCTGTTTTATCCTAATATTTCCAGGAACCTAGACCTGAGGAAGGCAAACTACCCCCCAGCCCAAATCCCTCCCACCCAGTTTGGGTGGCACAGGAGCGAAGAATGGCTTTACAGTTCTCAAATGACTACAAACAAAATCAAAAGAAGAATGAAACCTGGTGGCATGTGAGAATCATCTGAACTTCAAATTTCAGTGTCCATGAATAAAATTGCATTGGGACACAGCCATGTCCACAGTTGCTCCTGCAGTGCATGAACTACATTTACAAGTCCTTTTACTCAAAAATGTTGCCAACCCCTGGTCTAGAGCACTCAGACTGTGATCCATAGGCTGCGGGCTCAAGCACTGTTTGTTACTGATCTGCAGCAAGGAATGAAACCGAGAAGAGATGGGCAGCAATTTTTATAGCATTTTGACAAAGCAATTTTATGTCTATTGAATCTGACAGTGAAAAGATAGGGTTTTATTTTGTACCTTTTTTTTTTTTTCTATTTGCCTAGTAATTATGGTATGTTACGTAAATACTTCTATACCATGGACCAGATATTTGCAAGCTCAGGTCCTCACCAGACAGGTTGAGAAGCCTTGGACTCAAATCTAATTAATGTCACTCTCCTGATTAAATCCTCGGTGTCTGGGATGAAGCCCAAACCCCTCCAGTTCTGGCTCCTTCTTTCTCCTCCTCCAGCCCTCGCCCACCACACCCTTTCAGCATTGGTCGTCTGTGTCCCCCGACCCCAGCATGCCTTTGGCATGCTGTCCGCTGTGGAAGTCCCCCCACCCCATCACCTGAGTTTTCCCTATCTGTCCTCAGCACTCAGCTCTGAAAGCCTTCCCCAAAACCCAGTGCCCTTCCCTACCCTTGATGTGCTCCAACACCATGCATGACAAACTGTCACAGAATGACAGAGTGCATTAAACCAGGGAGAGGACGATGTAAGCGTCTGACCTCAGCAGACTGACAGCTTCTTAGCAACAGGGCACTGTGCCTCATTCATACATTCCCAAAGCCAAAAAACAGGATCTGACCTAAAGCAGGAGAGTGACCCTATGCCTGCAGAGAGCCAGACCTGACTGCTCTAAAGCTTAAAAACCACACCTACAGTGATTTCCCAACTATTATAAACATGCTCTGTAAACCAAAGAGTGCTTACCTTGATATCACTCTCTTTCAATTCAAGTTCAGTTCCATCTTTGTATTTTACGCTGTAAAGCTGGGAGCTGCTGTCATGGCTCAGAACTTCTACTTCATAATAAAGTGAACTCCCGGGCCATCGACCTCTTACCACCTCACCATCGGCAAATTTCCTACTTGGCATTTTGAAAATCAGTCTGAATAGTTTAAAAAAGAAAAAAATTAGAGTCGGCGCGTACACACTTACATTTGTCTTTTTTCATAGATTAAACACTAAAACACAACTGTCCAAAATGCCTAACTGGTCAAGACTTTCAGGCTACAAAAGCCTCTAGAGGAGAGAGTGAACAACTCCTATTTTAAAGGTGAGAAAACTGAAGCTTAAAAATGTTAACTGTTTTGTTCAAGGGCACAGAAACAGACGGCATGAAGTGGCAGAGTCAGGACACAGAGGTTGTTCCTTCTGCTACACCATATCTCATTGGGAATCACTTTATACAGCCACTGTACACGGAAGTGGCACTAAGGATTAAATATGACAAAACATAAAGGCTCCAAATGATTTGCACCATGCAAAACGCCACCCGCCTACAGTGACTATACTTCTTTAACTAACAAGGCACAGTCTCACAAAGGACACACATTTTCTGATTGATAAATCAGCATATACAGTAGTCACCTCCTTATCCAAGAGGGATATATTCTAAGACCCCCAGGCATCCCTAGTGGATGCCTGAAACCAGATAGTACAGAGCCCCATACATACTGTGTTTTTTCCTATACATACATACCTATGATAAAGTTTAATTTATAAATTAGGCACCGTAAGAAGTTAACAACAATAACTAATAATAAAACAATTATAACAATATACTTTAATAAAAGTTATATGAAGGTGGTCGGTCTCTCTCTCAAAATATCTTAAAGGCACAAATTTAATGCCTTTTCCATCTTAACTAAGCACTTAACCACACACTGCGGCCGTAACTTTTGCAGTTTGAGGTACAACAGCGAAACGAGCATGAATTTCTGTTTCCTTCTCCACAATTTCACAGACAGAAGATTCGTTCTTACCATAGGTCTCAGCAACCTCAGCATAGGATTTTTTTTCTTTCCCTATTAAGCCAAGAATTGTCACTTTTCGCTTAAAGGAAGCACTTTACGGCTTCTCTTTGGCATATCTGAATTGCCAGCATCACTACTCCTGTGCTTTGGGGCCATTATTAAGTAAAATAAGGGTCACTTGAACACAAGCACTGTGATACCTTGACAGCTGATCTGATAACCGAGATGGCTACTAAGTGGCTAATGGGCAAGACGCGCTGGACAAAGGGACGATTCACATCCCAGGCTGGATGGAGACGGACAGCCCAAGATTTCATCCCGCTACTCAGGGTGGCACACAATTTAAAACTTGTGAGCTATTTATTTCTGGAATTCTCCATTTAATATTATTGGACCGCAGGTGACCACCTCAGAAAGTGAAACTGCAGATAAGGGGGGATGACTGTAGTCTTACAAAGGCTTTAAAGATGTATTATCTAATTTTTAACAAATTACCTTTATTAAAAACAGTAAACTAGGCAACAGACTGGGAAAATCAAGGCTGTGCAATTAGCATTACTATAACCTACCAACAGGGAGAAAAATATAACTCCAAATCTAAAATGAATAGCAAATTTGGGGTTTTCACCAAGCTTTCAAGTCTTACAGCTTAAGTCTCAAATGCCTACCAAGTAACTGCCAACCACGTACCTGGGCCAGCATCCTAGCTCTTTTTTCAAAAGCCTACAGCAGACATCAACCCCCCGTTACAACCCTCTTCTCCACTGAACCAAAACATGGCCCACGAAGCCTGGTATGAAAACAACACTCTAAGAAGCCACAAGCAATCTGCAGGAATTGCCACTTACATGAGGCCTGTTTTTCAAACATCAACTGACTGATGGGTGCTTCAAGCTCTTAGGTAGTCATGTTTCTCCCTCCTCGGACCCAGCAGATTCACATTTCCACAGGACAAAACCAGCGCCTGCCGACAGCTCCAACACCAACTGAACTAGCTGGGCCTCGTCTAAGAAGCAGACAGTAGGACCCCGAAAAATCTCTCCCTACGTCATCCTCATCCCACCAACTAAGCAATTCCCGAAACATCCTCTGGGCATATAAAGATACATTCCTCACCCGGCTCCTGTCAACAAAAACAGCACTTGAGAACTTCTGAAGACTCTACAGAGTTAAGAAAGGAGAAAGATTACCACACCCCTCCTGAGAAAACGTCTTTCCCAATCACCACATTTCTTCACTGTTAATCACCTGAGGAAAAAACTTCACAAGCTTCACTTGCTTAGATAGATAGGAGCTAGGTCAGTAAATGAAAGAAAACACAAAGACTTAGGTGGTGATTAGAGGAAGTCAGTCCATTTACACATTAGGTACAAGAGATGGCTTTCTTCCCAAACCTACCTGAGATAGCATCGCTGTGGTGATGAGAAGGTTTGGGCTTGTGGGGGCGGGGTCAGGGGGGAGGGGCACGGGGAGGACCCCAGACACTCTGGGAATGAAGTCACACCTGGCTGAGGAGTCACGTGAGGGGCACTTGGGAAGCAGAGGGCGGTGGACACCTTGGGACCGGAGGACGGGCAGAAAAAAGGAAGGTGACAACAGCAAGTTTTGCCTATTTCAACATTTAGCCCTGAGCCTCCAAACACTAAGAAAGAGGAAGGACATGTGCCCTCCTCTCGTGGCCCCTCCTTCTCCTCAGAACCCCTAAAATCAAACCACTGCTATTAGTACTAGCTCTCTGACATTGGTCAACCAGGGTTGGCAGAAGGCAATTACATCTTTCTACCTGAAGATGCCATCCGAGTTTCGAACAACTCTTTATAAACTTTGAAACACAGGCCCTCAGGACTTGGGAGCCACCTGGATTTTTTAAAAGGCCCTTGAGCAGATTCTGTCCTTTTTGGAAAATTCATTTATTGGCATCTTTCCGTTGTACCTATTTTACACCACACACACAGTATCTGTGCAATACTGGACACAGGTCAATGCCAAAGAGGTTTTTCTGCTATCAATTAAATATTTGGGGTTAAACAAATTAAGATAGCTGGTGGATATCTGTTAGGTCTCTAAACTTTTTTAAAAAAAGAATTAGGAATTAGGACTCGGTAACGATCTTTCATATAATGGCTGAAAAAAAGAAAAAATAGGAACAAACCAGCACGCTCCTTCGGAGACCACTATCTCGCACACAAATGTTCCAAAAGGCGGAACCACCAACATTATGTGCACCTCCACTTTGCACAAGATCCACAGACAAGTGTCACACAGTGCATCACATCCTAATTCTGCAGGAGTGAATTAGCCAAGTAGGACAGAAAAGCCCCAGGACATTTGTGCACATCGCTATGCTCACCTGATGGAGTCAAAACACACAGGGATCGGCCTCCCTCAGAAGGGAGGTTTTAGCCAAGTAGGTTGGCAAAGAAAGATTTTGTTTACTGAACACAATGTCCCCATTCCCCATTAGCAGTGGAAACACGGGGACCCTCAGGCTTTTCTCTATTAAGCCACAACATGCTTGCTAACTTCAGTGTCAATTGGCACTGGAATCCCCACACATATCAGCTCCAATATGTTCCTGTTTATCAGCACAACTGAATGTGCTATTTTCTGCTGATCGCAGTGTTACAGAGGCCTTTGGTCATCTTTCCTCACTTTCCCAAGTTAGTCTAAACGTGGCAGAGAAAGGGAAGCTCCAATGAAGTTTGACAGCTTCCCTCTTCAACACCTGGGCCCAAGGCTGGCCTGCCAGGCAAAACCCAAACAGGAACCCCTGGTCTACCTCCTGCCCCTGTCGCAGAATGCAGAAGAAACGCCACCTTCTTGGCTGTAGAGGCGGCACGGCCTGACTTCTCCCCTAAGCAATATCAAGAACTGAAGGTAACAATAATTCCCCTCCTACTCACTCTCTTCCCTCCTCCCTAGACAGCTCTCAGAAACTAAACTTAAACTGGACTTGGTGCCCAGTCTAAATTAGCGCGCGCGCGCGCACGCACACACACACACACACACACACACACACACACTCTCTCTCTTTCCTCCACGGCAGTTGCTACAAAGTGTAATTACAGATTTGCACGTATTTATTTGCAAGGTCCCCAGATTTGCACGTATTTATTTGCAAGGTCCCTGACGGCTGGGACCAGGAGCGTGGATCTACCTGGGCTCCGGCCGGGTGCATGCCCGCCACAGCCCGTGAGCAAGCTAGCTCGCTCCAGGCTGAACCCTTGCACTGTCCACGCGCTGTCCAATGTATCTACTGCGTCGTTCTGAGTATCCACAGCCTGACTCCCGACCAGACCGTGCAATCATTTTGATGGAACCGCCTGGAACCAGGCCCTCTGCCATCAGGCGCTAAGTGTCCCTTGCGAGTGTCGGAAGGTGTCATTACGAAGAATTTTTTTAAAGCCTTTAAAAAGATGAAAAAATAGGATCGAGCTTTAGCTGAAGTACGCAAACCTGCCTAAGTACCCGTTTCTTGAGTGTGCGGAAACACCGGGCGAGGGAATGCAACGCGCGCAGCCAGCACTGGAGAGTAGCCGAACAGAGACCGCTACGACCCTCAAGGCCAGTGACAACCAGCGAGAATTAAAGGCAACTTTGCAACCCCACTTCTCCGTCCGCCAGGCTGCCGCGCCTTTTCTGCCTCCCCGAGAGCAGGGCCCACCAAGCCACCCGCTAACCTGTCAAAAAGGCGCTCGGAGCCGGCTTGGGAGGGCTGGTGCTGCAGGGCGGGGACAAAGGGACTGGGGTGGCTCACCCACCCACTCATCCTCCCCAGCCAACATCATTTTACACCGACGCGGCGCGTCCAAAATGGAGGGAAACGTCTGCAATTTAAAACCGCAGCTCCATTTCCGCAGCTGGCCGGGCCGGACGCACCTTCAGCCTCGCCAGCAGCGGCCCGGACCGACTCGGAGAAGGGGAGGGCGAGGCCGCGGCACCAGGCCCGGCGCCCAGGAACCCC